CCACGGCCGCCCGCTCGGCCTGGCGCCACTACGGCTGGTAAGGCCCGGGCTGGGGGAGCCGGGGGTGCCGTGGCCCCGGGGGTGCCGTGGCTCCGGGGGTGCCGTGCTACCGGCCCTGCAGAGCCTTCCTTGCCTCCCACTGCAGGTACATGTGCTCCTTGTCCCTCTTCCACTACTCGGAGTACTTGGTGACAGCCATCAACAACCCGCGCAGCCTCTCCCTGGACTCCTTCCTGCTCAACCACAGCTTCGAGTACAACCTGGCTGCTCTTTCCTCCTGGGTGGAGTTCACGTTGGAGAAGCTGCTCTTCCCAGGTTGGCCACCCTGCCGTTCACCATCTATTCTGCTGTCCCCCACCTCTGCCTGGCTGCTTGTTCCAGGGCTCACCCCTCTGCTGGAAAGCCCTTGTGACCTTCCCTTAACTGACCTGCTCCAGCAGCGTAGGAGGCTTTGACGTGGCTTTAATCTATGTCCTCAAAGCCTCTTGGTTTTGTTCTCGGGGACGTGGGGGAAGTGTCTCTCTTACTCTGATATGCCAGGCTGTGTCATGGGGCTTCAGCCCTTCCTAGGCTGTATCCTTCAAGCCCATGTGGTGGTACAAAGAACGATGTTTCAGTTACATCTGGACCTTTTTTGACCTGGCACGAAATGAAATCAGCAAAACCTGTTGCTGTTGGTCCAGCCTACGCTGTTCCTTTTGGTTTTGGGAGCAAGGAGATGTTCTCCACCATGGCAGCACGGGCTGAGGAGCTCCTTGCAGTTAGCTGTGGTTTGTGTCAGCTTTACACTGCACAGCAGGCTCTGCTGCAGCGCTGGGTTCCTCAGGGGTGGGCATATGCTGCACTGGGGGCTCCATGACACTGAGGGTGCTTTTATTTGCTTTGGTGGTGGGAGCAGCATGTGGAATTCTGGCTGTGCATTACAGGTTGAGCTTTGAGATGGGGAGTGGGGGGAAGCCCCTCTACCAGCCTGGTGCTCCAGGAGCCCCACAGTCAAGCAGGACCTGTGCAAACCCGTTGTGACCCGTCCTCGTTGCCTTGCAGAGCTGAAGCAGATCACCTGGCTGAGCACGGTGGGGCTGCTGATGGTGATCTTCGGGGACTGCCTGAGGAAGGCAGCCATGCTGACAGCAGGCTCCAACTTCAACCACATTGTTCAGAACGAGAAATCGGAGACTCACACTCTGGTGACGAGTGGAGTGTACGGGTGGTTCCGGCACCCGTCCTACGTGGGCTGGTTTTACTGGAGTATTGGAACACAGGTACCATGCACGACACACTCAGATACTTTCATCTTGTAATCTGGGTCTGTCATCTTAACGTTGCCCCACGCCGTCAGGGATGCTGGACTGCTGTCCAAAATGCCTGTCAGTGGTCAGACGTAGCTTTGCTCTTACCTAATGCTAGTCCTGTGCCAAATGGCAAAAAACCCCTCCCTCTAAGAGTGCCCAGGGCCCGGGCAGAGGATGGGCTGGATACCAGCTGCAACTCAGCTGCCTTAGTTGTGATCTCATGGTTGGCTGCTGGTTAGCAGTTGGTTTTATTTCCCTGGAGAGAGACCTTGAAGGCTGCACGTGGAGCAGTGTGGCCATGCATGGGCTCTCCAGAGCTAGGACCCAGCTCTCAGCTGTGGTGGCAGGAGCCAGCAGCTGCCCACTGGCCACTTTCTTGGTGAGCATATTTCCTCTCCAGAATGAAGTTCCACAAAAGGTGCTGGAATTTTTTTCTCTGGAGAGCTCTTAGGCCTTGTGGCAGACTTAATGAAGGGTGGTTAGCCCATGGGGTGGGGTGCAGCCTGGGCTCCTTGGGGAGGTTTCTTCGGGATGCTCACCACTGGTGTCTCTGCAGGTGTTACTCTGCAACCCCATCTGCGTGGTGGGCTACGCGCTGGCGTCCTGGCGCTTCTTCAGGGAGCGGATCGAGGAGGAGGAGATCACACTCATTCACTTCTTTGGAGAAGAGTACTTGGAGTACAAAAGGAAGGTGCCATCAGGTCTCCCTTTTATTAAAGGAGTCAAAGTGGAACTGTAATGTGGGCAAAAACCAGACTGGCTGAGTGAATGCCCAGCTCCAGGCACAGGGCGAGGGACAGTGTATGGCACTAGGAGTAGCCTGTTGGTCTTTCCTGTCTGCCCAGGAGGAGCTGGCGAAGAGCTGCAGAGCTGGGCAGCTCTACGGGTCACTAGCAGATCAGAAGCTCATTTGTCCTCCTCGAGATAAGCCCTTCGTTGCACATTCAGGGATCTTCCAGATAACTTAGGCTGTAGCGAATCTAAAGAGAATCGACCGCTCCTGCCTGCAGCTGTGGAACTGGACCGAGATGCTGCCAGACCAGCAGCTCTGCCCTCCTGCCCAAGGAGCAGGAAAGGCCCTGGTTCTTCCTGTGGCCTCATTTGATTTTAAAGCTCTTTGGCCTCATGAGCCGGCGGCGCGGCTGTAATCCCCTTAGGCCGGGGCTGGCAGCTGGTGCCACCGCGGGCGCTGCCCTCCTGCTCCCCTGGCGCGGGGACTGCCTGCCCACCCGCTGCCACCAGTGGATCCTCCCCAGGCACTCGTGCTCCCAGGAGCCTTTTCTGCCAGATCGCAGGGGAGCGAGCCTGCTCCCTGCCCCGGCTGCTGCTGGCTCTGCGGGAGCCACCATCGCAGCCACCGCCCTCCTGAGCCCCCTCCCTGTCACCTTTGTTCCCTCTTCCCGCTTCCAAATCACGCTGCTTCCTATCCTGCAAGGCTGCCTCTGTCCTGCAGAAATCCCAGGATTTTGGATTGGGAGAGAAGATCCTTGCCTGCGTTGTGGGCAAACCTGGGATGCTGGTGGGACTAGGAGATGCTTCTAGGGAAATTCTCCAAAGAGGAAAAAAATTATGGCTAGTTAATGCAATTTTAAACGTTCCTATTTTGGAAATGGTTCCTACTTGAGCTTTGTGGTATAACTTATTCTGTCATTATATACCAAAGAGGTTCACTGTTTTCTTGAGTTTTAGGTTATTCTTCCTAGCTAGAATGGAAATGCGTTGCTTGGCAGTTCACGCTTCAGGCTGGCAGTGTTCCCGAATGGAGGTGTGTGGTATGGCTCAGGAAAAGGGGCACTGGTGGGAGATGGCTTTGGTTTAGTTTTTGGGTTTTTTCATAAAAAATAAGAAAATTATTGCTAACTTCTGTCTGGTTGTCATTTTAGAGATCTCTTGCCTTGCTAGTGACATGATGGGAATAGAAGTTATTACTTTCACAGTTCCTAGTGGGTTTTTGGTGCACTAGGTGCTGTCTGAGCACGGCTGAGGCTCCCTGTGACCAGGGGAGTCACAGGCGCGGGCAGATCCTCTGTCTCTCCTCACTTAACCCATTCAGGGTCCTTCCTCTGCCAGGTTTGCTTTGTATTTCAGCGTGTGTTCTGCATGGAGTATCAGCTTGGTGCCTTTGCTGGGAATTTGTCTTTCACCAGGAGTTTTTTTACTTTGAGAGAGAAGAGAAAATGAGATAGTGCACCAGCAGGGCAGCACCGATTCCTCTGCACAGTCACTCACAGGCTCCTGCTCAGGCATTTCTGTGCCTCTGACTCATGTCCTCATGGAAGCTGTGACCTGCTCTTGCAGCCAGCGTGCCTCAGGCGAGTTAATTTTTAACATTTTTTTGTAGGCGTTAAGGTTTCTGCTGTAAACATGCACAAATACACTTTGAAATGGAAAAACAGCAGCTGCTGCTTGGGTTGGACATGAGCTGACAACGGAGATTAAGCTTTCTTCTCAAGCTGTTCTTTGTATTCAGTGCACCTGAATCCTAACTGTGGTGAGCTGCCTCTACCCCACACCAGGGATTTTTTGGGTTTTTTACCCTTTGTTTGCAAACTTGGTGGTGGTAAGAGCAGCTAGACACCCCATGCTGGCAGGTTTTGTCCAGAACCAGGCAGACACGTACACTGGTGTCTTTTATTTCACTTGTGACACACAAAAGGGAGAGTATAAAGACAATTATATTTTCAGATCAACAAAGTCACCCCACACCAGGCTTCTGACAAGCTGCAGACACAGTTTCTGGGCTGCATTTCCTGCCTCTCCTCGTGGCATACGGCAAGAGGAGCCAGTTGACAGCCAGGGCACAGTGAGAGCAGAGCAGCTCTGTGCTTGGCGTTGGGTTCTATGGTGCTGCCTCTTTGTGGGCAGCACCCTCAGCCCCGCTGCTCTGCTGGCCCCTGCACCACTCTTTGTTTCTTGGGGAGGGGTCTCCAGGGGTGCAGCCCTCCCCAGGGCTGGCCGGAGCCCCCTCCTTTCCACTGGGCAAGGTGTCTCTGGGGAAGGGAAGGCACCTCGGCAGGGTCATTGGCTGGGAAAGGGCACAGGGGGAATTTGGTACCCAGGTGCTTGCCATCACCTACCTTGGAGCTGCTTTGCTGTCATCACAGATCCTAAGCAGCATCTGGGCTGGTTCCTCCTTGGGGTCCTGGGGCTCCTGCAGCCTGTGGTGGGAGGGTTGTGAGCTGTGGCCAGAACCCTGGCCCCAACAGACCCCCCACGGCCCTCACCTGGGCTCCAGCCGCTCCTTCACCTTGGCGATGGAACGGACATAGGGCGCGATCTGCTTGGTGATGGTGGTGAGAGAGCTGTTCCCCTGCCGCAGCTGCAGCAGGTCGTGGAGCTGGGCTGGGGGGTGAGAGGAGTGGGCTGTGGCCACAGCTGCCCCCCAGGAGTGGACATGGGGGTTCCAGGGCTGGGGGAGTCTCGCTTACCTTCATAGATCTCCTGCTCGTTGGCCACACGCTGGTATGTCTCCTCCCAGACCTGGAGGAACGAGAGGGAGCTGGGCAGTGTGCTGTGGCACGGGGGCCCTGCCATGCCAGGACACGCTGGCTGTACCTCCTCGAAGACGCTGCGCATCATCTCCACAGCCGAGTAGTGCGCTGCGATCTGCACGTCCATCTGTAGGGACTTCTGCAGGATCTCGCTCATGATCTCCGTCTTGATGAGCGAGTGGTGCTTGGTGAGGTCACGGTGCAGCTCCTGCACCTGGTCCTTCAGGCCCTGGATCTCTGTTTGCAGCATCTGCAGGGGCCGGGGGCAGCCCCTGTGAGCAGCTCCCTCCTCCTGTCCCACCCTGTGCCCCCAGAGCCCCGCTCCTACCCGGTAGGTGTTCTCGTAGTTGCGGCAGTGCTCGGCAAAGGGGGTCTCGCGCCCCTCGGCCAGCAGGACCTTGGTGCTGATGTACCGGTGCATCGTTGGCTTCCGCACTATGGGCCCCGTGGACATCTTATCGCCGGCGGGGGCGCAGCTGGGCACCATCAGGGTCTTGGAGCACTGGCCGCCGGGGTGCCTGAGCCAAGAGGGCAACAGTGGCGCGTCTGCGGGCAAGCAGGGCGAGGTGCCAGGGGCCAGGCCACCGGCTCAGCCTCGCCCCGGGAGCTGGGGATATGCCAGCTCCCCGTGTTCCTTCCCTCACTTGAGCACTGAGGTGCCTTACAACACTCCAAAAATCAGGTTTCTGGGGCTGCTCTTCTGCTGCCTGCAGCTTCAGGACCAGCTATGGAAGGGGCAGGAGCTGAGCTAGGCATACGCTGGTTTCCAGAGGGAAGGATGGATGCCAGCATCTCCTGGCCCCATGGTGAGTGCCTCTGCCCCCCCATCTCCCCGTCCCTGCTCTGCCCCCCCCCTGGCTCCACTGCCCCCACCACCTGCCGTCATCCTACCGTGCTGCACCGTGTTCCCCCTGCCCACGCCAGGGCCAGCAGCTCCCAGCAGCTCAGCCACCGCGCCGCGGGCGAGGGTCGGTCCCCATGGGC